TTTCCAACAGACAGCTCGACCCTCCATTTGTCCATTTTGCAAAACAAACATCCCACACATCTTAAACACATTCTTAATGACTGCTCCACATTACAAACTCATAAAATCGGCACCTTCAAAACAATAGCCCAATAACACATATTAGAAATCCTACTCCACAAAATATATCCGCAATTATAACTTTTCTGAAACCAAGTACTATTTATCATCTACTAAACATTACCAATATAAACAAAACCTACGCACCTTTAACTTTTAAAAACCGAAATTCTAACTTCCCTAATTCAGGCTAATTTAAAATATGATGATAATCTATCCTACATGTTAAAAGTAAATAAATAATATCTGAAACCTACTAGGTCTGTAACAAATATGTATCCTTCCAATAAAAGTGTTGGTTGTTTTACGACCAAACATATTTGCACCAATTTAACAACTAGCGTTACATAGTCAGCAAACTAGCTGAGATATCCTTTGAATAAGTGTCCAATGCTTACATATTTGGTGTGCACACTTGGCGCCGCAAGCAAAAGTCGTACATTTTCATCACTCGGCTAGGAAACAGTACGAGAACCTGAACCAGAACCAGAACCAAAACCAGACGAAGACCCTAAACCAAGTCCAAAGCCAGAAGAAGAGGCTGTCGTCATTGTCTGGCTTAAACTTTTTATGATCTAGCCGTCTGTCTGGCCCGTCTCGCCCGCTCTCTTTCTCTCTCTCTCTCTGTCTCTGTCTCTCTCTCGCTTGTTGCCGGGTGATGCATTTTTCATGACCAGTTTGTACGATTTCCGCAACGCAATGCGCATTTTCATGTAATTCAATTCGGGCTTTTCGGTTTTTGTAGGCGCATTGAACCGGCAATTTTACAATTCTATTGGCAGCGGAGTGTTGGGCCCACCGCTGCGCGCCAACGCTAACATGAGCTAATGAAATACGACATTTGACTCGTGCGGCCGTATTTATAGGCGTGGGATAGCTCTCGGCCAGAATGCCTACAACTGGAGCAGGGGTATGTCTGCGTGTGAGAGAGGCGTTGATATCTTCCCAGTTTTACGATGCAGCATAGTTTCGCCTGCAGGCCAACAATTACATATGCATACACTCAAACCTGGCCAGATCAATTGCTGGCCAGGGCTCGGTGCCATCAAAGCCTTAACCAAGCGACAAACGGCGCGTGCTGCCTGACTTCCGCTCCATGACTGACCCAAAACAGCTGTCGCGACAATGTTGGTGGGGAGTGGACTCAATCTTAGCCCAGTCGCACTTACGCCTAGTTAATATGCATGCTGTCGACTGATAGCTGCGGCCCAGGCAGACGTGTTTGACTCACCACGTAGTCATGTTGCCAGCGGCTTTTCGGAGACTCTTGCTGCGCCACGCGACTAGTTCAAAGGGCGACCGATCGATTTGTATGTGATTTGTTTGCCTAAATGACTCATCATCATTCAACGTTCAGAAATGACCAAAAAACTAGCTGACTGACTAGCTTCAAACTTATACAGTTCTTGCTTTATATAACGTTTCATTTGTGCATTTTATCTCGTTTCCAACTTTGTAAGTCCCTTGCGTTCTCAATAAAATATTTGCTTGTTTATTTTTTATTTATTGTGAAGCAGTTTGATAGTGATTTTAGTAAGGCTATAAAAGAATATATAATATATGCATACAAGTATTTGATAAGCCATTTTCCGAGTCTAAGGCTTCAACAGCCAAACTTCCTGCAGGAGCGCGAAAATTCTCATTGGTTGGAGGCTTTCTGTAGCTTTTATTGGAATAAAGCGCTTCTTATTCAGCTGAAAATAAAACTGGGCCTTCTCTTTCCCATTGTTCATTTTCAGCTCCCCCTTTTTGGCAATCTAGTTTTATGTCCCACCGCGCAATTATCATTCTAATTATTTAAACCGTTGACAGCCCCTTGCTTCATTACCATATCATACCTACTTGTAAAATTATGATACGCACTTTTTGCAGTAGCTTCCACATGAAATTCAATAATTGCAGTTAATGACGATCCCAAAGGTCCAATCTTAAACAGTCTGAATACACACACTTAAGACCCACTGTCGGGTCATGATAATGAGACATCTGTTTTTTAGCCCCCTAGTTAAAGATCAACTATTCCACATTCAATCACACTCCTTCCCCTTTTTGAGGCACCATTTGTAGCCAATTAAAGGTTTAATTTGTATTCAATTGCTTGCCTCTTGCTGTCTTACACCTTAATGCGTTCGAAAATCCGTTGATTTGGCTGATTGAATATGCATTGCATATAGCGTCGATCCCATATGCACGATTTGCTTATGTTCCATTCGTAATATGCTAATTTCCAGTCGGGCAGCTCATGAAAATCAAACATTTAACATAAAACTGACTGATAGCTGAAATTCTAAGCCATCAAATGAAAGACACGAGTCCTGTTTTCGAGTCATTGACTGCGGTTTTATGTTTCTTAGAATGTGCTGGATGTACGTACAACTGATGTCGTGCCTCCTCCAATGGGTCAGACCTATAAATTATTGGGCAAAGGCTTCAACTAGCTCACCAAGTTATTTAATGGCCTCAATAATAAAATTGCGACTTTTTTAAATTATAATAAAATATATTAGAGACGAATTGTCTCATAAGCATAAGAAATACTATTATTTGCATAAGTGTATTTAAATTGAATTGTGAAAATAGTATCATTTCATTTTAATTTAAAAAAAGAGAAAAATTTAACTATCGCCCAAAAAATTGTTAGTAATTGCTTTTTAATAGTTTTCCAAAAAAATATAAGCAAAACATTTTCATATTGAGGCGTGATCGCAAATCTTACAAATCTATGCAAATACTAAAACCCCATTCACACCTTGCAGCGCCATTTTAATTAGCTAATTAGGCACAATTAAACGCCAACTTTATACGAAAACAATTCACACGGCATGCTCACACGCACTCATACATTCACACGCACGCGCTGCCCCATTGGCTCACACACAAATTGCCTGTCTATTGTGGTTGAAAGCGAAAACAAAACCAAAAGCAAAACTATAAAGCAGTAAATAGATTTTTTTGAACGGAGCTCAACGAATGTTGACCAATCAGCGAGCCGCATGAAAGCATCGCACACACAAACAGAAACACACACACACGTTCACACCGAGCTTGCGAGCTTGTGCAGAGTTGCCAACTCATCTGAAAGCCGCGCTTCAAGTATTGGTTAGCATGGTAATACACAAACAATAACCAGGAATTATTCATATAAAGCTAATCGGCGATTTGATCAATCAATTCACTTGGGTAAATACTTGATGTGGATATTTTAGGCTGACAGTAGTCAGCGGCCGCAGAATTGCAAAATTAATTGATTTATGGCTAATTTGAATAGATTACCAGCTAATGACTTACGAGAGCCGGCAACAACACACAGTCCCGACTACCTGTCTAAGTGTGTGTGTGTGCGTGTGTATAGGTGTAAAAAGGGGCGTCAACAAATGGCACGCTCGCTCTTTGCATTGGTCAGTTGGCTGTGTGTGTGTCGCTGAGTAGCTGTGCCAGCTCAGGCGGATACACTGTCACAATAATATATAGTTCAAATTGAAAACAGCGACAAGAGGAAATTTTGTTGTATCTTTTCTGACACATATATGTTACTCTGATTTCTATTGATATGTATTCATAATTTATGTCTACATATATTCTATGACTATAAATCTTATGAATTAAAATATTCTTGTATTTGTTAAATGTTTAATATTCAATTCATCTTTCAACTATCTGCCCATTTATGTATATATCTCTTTTCATCTATTAATTTATATTTCTTTCAAATCTTATTCGCTCACTCTCTATGTAACTTTGTCTATATGTACGGCTCCCTCGCTATCTCTCTATCTCTCTCTCTCTCTCTCTCTCTCTCTCTCTCTCTCTCTCTCTCTCTCTCTCTCTCTCTCTCTCTCTCTCTCTCTCTCTGTCTGTCTCTCTTCCTCTCGCGCTCTCTCTCTATTCTCCCTAAAATTCACTTCATCACTTTCTTAACATCCCATTCAATCTCGGTTTTTTCATCCACTTCAATTGCCTTTGAACCTATTTTTCTTTAACACTAACCTAACAAATATCAACACTCTTATTTGATGTTAATAATATTTAATTCACCAACTGGTTTAATCAACTTCAATCTTCAGCTAGTCAGTCTATATTTCTCTCAGTGGATGATCGTTGATCGTATTGGGTGAGCCACACAAATACTAATGCATGCATCCCAACTTACGCTGTGTGTGTGAGCTCTTGAGCTGAAACTGAACGAAAGCTACCTTACCTGTTTCGAAATCAAGTTTGTTGCTTCTGTGTCGCTTCGGTGATCCGCACAGAAAGGTGCTCGCGCGCATTCTACACGGTTGGCTACACAGAGCGTTTTGTGAGGCAAGCTGAACGGATTTTCCATAGCCAGTAAGGCACAATAACGACGACAACTCAAAGCCGTCGGAAGTCTAAAGTCATCGTCATCGCAATCGTTATCGGCGGGTCGGTTTCTCGGATTATCGTTTGATACTTCAGTTTTGCAAAACATAAATTCTGAGGTTCACAAAGCAATATCTCATTAGATATATGCATAATTAGATTTGCAAATGATTCCGTAAGGTTCGTCGTTTCAAAGAAACCCCATAAATCTTGTCGAGCTACAGATATAATCAAAGTGTTGTGAAGGTCCATGAATATGCAATGTTCGAAATGATTTAAAACAAATAGAAAAAAAAATAAAATAAATAATAAGCAAAAAATCATATTTTATTGTGCAAAATAAACCATTCGAAAGTTGAGATCTTTATGCAAAAAATATTTCAATTGTAATTGAAATATAAATTGTTGAATACAGCAACAAGTTCGCTTAAGTGCCAAACATTGTGCAAAACAAAATTAAAAATCGAAAGATTTATAAATTATAATTTATGCAAAAAAAGCATTAAGCAAATACATTTTAAAATACCCAACGTATACGCTGTGTACTCTGCTGCTGTACCCAATGGATATCGCAAATTAAATCTTTCGAGAAAAGGTAAGGAAAGAGCCCAAGGTCCCAGTTAAAGCTCGCACCCGCGCCCGAACGCACACACGCGCAGAGAGATAAAAAAAAAACTAAAACCAAAACGCGATTTACCAATTTCATTATTAACTTTGATAGAAATCAAATAACAAAATACTTAAAAAGCAAGCCAACAGTTGCGCACAATCACAGAGCAAATGTAGCCACAACAAAAGTCAACACACAAACACACACACACAAATACACACATATATGGTCACACGGACAAATGTATCTCGGAGTTCTTCATTTCATTCAATGACTTTTTGGTGGTCCCTATTCAAACAACTCCAAACAAATCAAGCACCAACTCGATGGCACTCCAAACGTCAACTCGAACAAATTTTTTCAACTCTGATAAGTTCACTTGACAATGAGTTGCAACTAAGCCAGGCCAACCAGTCAAAGCCATATACACAGACACAGATACAAGCACAGCCACAGAGGCAGACAGAGAGATACAGTCCGCCAAAGCCGGGCCCCAAAAAAACACACACACAGAAGATGGCCGCAGCCGGTAGTGAATATTGAAGTACAAAATTGAAATTCATTTACAAAACTAATTTCAATTGTTGCATTTTAAAGAATATTTGTATAAACAAGCATATCGAGATTTCTTCTTGGCGCCAGCTAAAGTGCCATCCAAGGTTTTCACATGCGCAATGACATGGAAAGTGATAGTGGAGAAGGTATTTTTGTGCGTAGGAAAAGTTGAAAATTTACTAAGGAAAAAGACAAAATATATAACGTAAATAAAGAGAGAGACTGTCATGCAACTAAACCAATATATGTTATATTACTAGTTGTAGTAGCTCATTTAACTTATTTGTTTAGCACAAATATATATAGAAAGATGAACGCTTAAACTGATGCGCATATTCTGGCGAGAGTTTTGACTAATTAGTTTATTTAATGTTCATGGTTTAAATTCTTCAAGTGCCCTCAAAGTTTACCAATGTCTACAAATTGAATGCTTGAATTAATTTTGTATTATTCGATTACATTTTTTTCAAACTTAATACTAACTAATTTGTATAATTTCAACTCAAACAAATCCACGTTCCTTTGCTAATAAAATTTAATATTAATTGTTTTTTTATGCTTAACATTATTTAATAATGTATATCGAAACTAAATGAAACTAATGTTTGTGCAATGCATAGCAGGAGACGCCTCTGACCCCATAAATATATATATATCACCATATATATATATAGATCATAAATATATATAGATCAGCATCTACTGTCGGTCTGTCTGTTTCTATGCGAACTAGTCTGTCAGTTTTAAAGCAATCGTCTTGGAACTAAGCACAGGTCCTTCTTTCTGTTGCACGCAGTACATATGTCGAATCTGGCCGAATCGGACCACTATATAGGAACAATCGGTCGAAAAGTAGGTTCTAGTATGATATCATGACCAATCTAGGTTTCAGCATGCTCACTACACATATGCAAAATCTTATCAACAGGCGACCACTTTATCATATAGCTTTGATAGGAACGATCAGTCGAAAGGTAGGTGCTTGTATGGAAAATATTCTGTATATCAAGATATTTTCATCAAACTCAGCATTTACGAGCTGCATTATTCTCACATATCTGCAAGACCGTAAGACCATGTCTACAAGGGTATTGAATATTCGGCTTGTCAAATATATTTTTACTTTCTCGTTGCAATTAACTTTCCTTGCTATTGTATAATTGAAGCTTCAGAAAGAAATGAATTTTTAAGTGTTTTTGATGCTTGAATTTATTTGATTAAATTTATTAAAATTGAGGCCAGATAATTTTTGTAAATTTTAACCCAAACGAATCAAGTTTTTCCTTGCTAAAAAAATATTGTATACTTTGCGATAAAAATGTAACATGAAGTTATTTTATAATATATATCTACAAAGGCTCATCCAACTTCGCAATTATTGTTTTCTATACAACGCTTATGTAAATTTAAACAAATCCATTTTTTTTAAATCAAATCAAATCAAATCTCATTGTGTATTTTTAATTGTTACTGAAATCAATGTCATAATTTTTTCTGTTTTTATCAGGAATTGCAATCGACATTTTAAATTCAAATAGTTTTATTGTACATCAATAAAATGTTTCGAATCACAATTTAGTTTTGTTATTTTTTCGTAAAAACGTATAAGTCTTGAAAACTAATAAAAAATATTTGCCAGACGCTTCTTATAATGACAATGATACACATTATACAGGCTTTTTTTAAAACGCCATAAATAACATTTTAATATCTAATATACACATAAAAGCTGACAAATTTTCCATTAAATTTGAAAAAACAAAACATTATTTAAATTTAAATGCGTCATCAAATTGATGTGCGCCTTGTTATGTATAGGCTCAACCATTTAGCATAACACGTCTAGAACGCCTAATCGAATTTTAAACAGGCCCAAAGAGAGACTTTTATTCATGGAATTGTATTTGAGACACTTAAAGTGACTCATTTACCACAAATTAAATATCATTTACGCTTATGCAATTTAATCTATTGTGGAGCTCTGAAACCCATTTGAGTATTTAGTATAACTCTTGTAAAGCATTTCGTTAACCTCGGCGTCAACTTACCGAACTCTATGTCGAATCACATGCCATAAATCATTTTCCTTATGCAATCCAGCACAGAGCTATGAAACTGCCAACTCATCGATCCGATACATGATGCGATAGTTGGGAGAGTGCTCAGATATGGCCATATATTTGAAAATATATGTATCTTCAATCGCTTCCCAATGCCACTGAGCGTTTTCAACGGCTCAATTGTTGACCGAGCAACAACAATGCAAATCAATTCTTTAGATGGCTCGCCCTCAAAATACGCTCTTTTTTACTTTGGCCACAATTCAAACAATACCAATACCAAATCTGGACCAATTTCAGTTCAAGTCCATGTGTGTGCATGTGTGTGTGCGAGTGTGTGTAATGGTGCGCGCTGGTCCCAATAATCAACAATTGTTGCTTCATTTCATTAGCAATGAAAAAAGTCTGCAGACTTTTATTAAGACTCGCATATTGATTGATATTACGCTTATCATTATTATTGGCTTAAGAATTTAGACAAATTTTAAACGAGTTTATTAATCGAAAAAACTGTCGATGTCATTCTCAATTTTAGGAACTGCACAAATATTTGCAAACGTGCCGGCTACGAAATGTACGCAGATAAACGTGGCCTAGAGAAGCCCGGCTCAACGCTGTCGGCAGCGGCAGCAGCAGCGGCGGCAGCGGCCGCAGCAGCAGTGGCAGTCACGCATTTAGCCACGCCCACTCATGCGCATGCCCTACAGCAACAACAGCAGCAGCATCATCATGTGCTGCAGCTGCAACATCAGCAGCAACAGCAACACTTGCAACACCAGCAACATCACATGCAACAACATATGCACACGCATCATAACTTCCAGCAACATGAGCCCACCACATTGTCACAGCAGCAACACTTGCAGCAACAACAGCAGCAACAACAGCAGCAGCAGCAGCAGCAGCAACAACAGCAGCAACAGCAGCAGGCCAGCCAACAACAGCAGCAACAGGCAGCCGGCATGTTTACACGGTAAGTCTTAGCGCCAATTTAAAGCACGAACCAGAACCTATACACAAACAGCTCCAATTTCGGGCTTATCACTCGGCATCTGGTTGGCTTTCAGGGTCTACAAATCAGCGCCAGCAACGCATCAAAAATGCGCAACATGCAAACTTTTAATTTCAATTTGTTTCGCACGCTTCGATATTTGTCAATACAGTTTGAAATACGAGTGTGTGTGTGTGTGTGTGTGTGTGTGTGTGTGTGTGTGTGTGTGTGTGTGTGTGTGTGTGTGTGTGTGTGTGTGTAAGCAAGTGTGAGTGAGTGTGTGTGATTGTGTATTTTATGCGTTCTAGAAACTGCAGAGCATTGCTTTTCTTCTCGCGCTGCTTTCAATTTCTTTGGGGCTGGGATTTTATTTTTATTTTTGTGGCCTGCAGGCTGCTGCTGCTGCTGGGTTTTAATGGCCTCTTGTATTGGCAACTTGTAGTTCACATTTATCTGGCACTCGTAATCTGCTCAGTTCCAGCAGACTACGTCTCCACATGGCCAGTCCGTGCGTACCCAGCACCAGCAACAGCGCCAACGCCGTACTACAATTCTCGCAGAAATTCACAACACAAACAAAATAAAGCCAAAAACAAGCGAAAACTCGCAAAATTCACTCGTTCGCCTCCTTCGCGGCTGCTGTGCCATTTTATTTAGCTCCAATTAATTAGTGCTTCAAATGTTTTGCCATAAGTTAAACCCGCACAGTGCGATTGACATTGCCACGCTGGCAATCGGACCAAGTCGAAGACGACGACGTTGTCGTCGATACGATGTCCACCAGGACGAGACTCACCGTACGGTGGGATGCTGGCGCAACGTCTGTTGGCCGTTTGCTTCTGAAATGTGTAAAACTCACGTGTGATGCTGCTGATGGCTCCGCCCCTCCTACCACTATCTCTCCACACCCCAGATGCTGCCGATTGCAACTTACAGAGACTTGCCTCCGCTTGTCTGCCTTTTGTCTTTTGAGTGGGTGCTACCTGTGGGTGTTTGTGTTTGTTCCTCTCTTGTTTATGTTGTGGTTCTTGTTTTTGTTGTTGTCAATGGTGTGCGCTTGTTTGCCAGGCGGCCAATTGGTTAGCGGAAGCCATTGGCAAAATCATACAAATTTTGATCGTTTTGCCATCAATCTCTATTTGGCCCAAGCATAACTCCTCTCCCAAAAGCACCTAGATATTACTATCTTGAGGCCATTTTCTGAACTAAACCCGTTCGAACCATGAATTCCAATATTTTCACTCTTATTAAACCCTTAAGCCAAAGTAGTTGCCACAATCCACGGCAAATCATATTTCTAAAAGGAAAAGATCTTGACTCATATTAAAATACTTTTAGGGACGGCAAATAATAAATTTAGACCTCAAGCATGGAACGTATCCAAAAATATGTCAACTTTGGGCAACGCAACTTCTATATAATAAAAATTTAAATAAAACAAGCAATTATAAATTAAAAATTAATTTAAAAGGATTAGGTCATTTATGACTTTTTTTCCATAAAAAGGCAAATAAAATAAAACCCCAATACACTTATAGTCGGAATAACGAATGGTACGCAATTTTTGAAAACTATCTTTTGATAATTGAATGGATTTGTATTGAATGGATTTATATAGAAATTTTTAACTAGATTTTCTTAGTTTGAGGCTATAAAATTAATTGATGTTTGTTCATGCTGTTTGCAATAAATAAAACATGATTCAAGCGGGTTTTTTAGAAAATATACATCTATATAATTAAAACATATCATATAATATGAAAACTATATACCATTTTCATATTTAGTTTCCGTTCCCTCTCTCTCGATCAACACACTATGAAAGTTCGATGCATTCAATCAAGCTCAATAGGTTCCTGTCTCGCAGTTTCCATTCAGGGCAGCCACTTAGCAAGTGAAATATTTGAAATTCCCATATCGAAATGTAGCAATTTTAACAATTTTCACCGGAAGATTTCATTGTGTGTTTAAACGGCGCGCGACTCTTTCATACGCGCAGCACAAATAAAAGCCAAATGTGTAAATATGGGCTTCATCCATAAAATCTCATGGATTTCTATAAATATATTCTACGCTTAGCGAGTGGCGAGTAAACAATCTGCAGTGGCAGCGCCATGAAACCGAAACAAACAACCGTTAAACAACGAAAACTATATCAATATGCTCTAAATAATAAATAACACTAATTAAAGCCAAGAAATTTTTAACACATGCCACAGCCAACAACGCAGACAAACAGACAGCGAACCACTTCCAAAAGGAAGCCAAAGCTAACGCTAAGGAAAAGGCAACATTTCAATGGAGCTGGCCAAGTGCATTGAGTGCTTCCTACCGAGTGAAACCAGCCAAAACGTTGTTGCGTATTGTGGGGTCGGCCGTCCGGCCTAGCCGGCCAGCCAGCCAGCCAGCCGACCAATGGTGTTAATTTTGTCAATTAGCGGCCGCAGATACATTTGTATCTGTAACGTTGCAGGCAGCATTTTATGCTGCTAATTTCATTAACACATTTCGAATCGGTATCGGCGCAAGTTATTTACCTCGAACGCAGTAACAATTTGTGGCTCCAATTCCAGTGCACTGCATTTAGACCAGATAGCTCTGTATTGTTCAGTGCATCTAATTCTTTGAGCCAATATTTGATGACGCGCGTCCAAGTTAATTGATGCGCCTCCTATGACTGAGCAGTTTTTCCTCAAACGCTGCTCGATATGAAATGCTGAGCAAATATGTAAGCGCGCCATGTGCTCCCACCTCCATATTGAGGCGGCGGGGAGTAGCTGCTGCCTCGAACCAAAAACTAACCCCGAGGCGCGTCAAATTATTTAGCTGCGGCATCCTTGTGCTAATTGCCTGACGTTGCCGTTGCCGTTGCTGCTGCCGGTAAAGTGCAGCAGCCGCATCAACCATCAATCCAGAGAGTTTCAGAGTCCAAGTCTGGGACTGAATTTGAGCCTGAGCCTGAGCTCGGCTAAGTTGGGTAATTTCTGGCCAAGCCACCGCCGGGCAAAATGTAGAGGCCGAAGAGCCAGAGCCCGAGCTGAAAGCTGTAGTCAAAGCCAGAACCAAAGTCATGGGAAAATTTCCGTACACACACAATTTGGGGTTTGGCTTACGCCTCAGTCGCTGCCGCTGCCGCTGCCGCTGTCTCAGCTCGGGAGCAACTCGGCTACGGCACAAAAAAGTCAGTTTCGCACGCAAATTAAGATAATCGAAAGCAAATGCAGCAACGGTAGCAGCTCCATGGTTAGCGCTCTGGAAACGGGTTTAGTACCCGGTAGCAACAAATCATAAAAATATGAAAAATTATGCGGCGGCGGCGGCGGCGACGATGTTGTCGATGATGACGTCGAAGTGTGCTTTTGGCAGTCCATCATTAAATTGTGGCTAAGATTCCAATCGGACATATACACAATGAGAGCATCAGCTATAGCAATTCACTTCATTCTTTTTGTGTTCCTCCTCCTCATTTTTCCCTGTGTATTCTGGCAATGAATTCAAATACTAGCGGCTCTGCTGCTTGCCAGGGTTGCTGTGGTGCCTTTCTGCTCTTTGGTAATATATATGCATCAACATAAAAAACAGTAGCTACCGCATTAACCAATCATCGTAGCAGCTTTTTTTATGCACACTAAATTATATGGATGGCCGCAATCGGCGTCGTAACTTTAGTTATCTTAATTGATTGTGGCAAATGGCAAACAAACCTGTGCACATAACGTTTATATTTATTCCAGAGGCAATACAGGCCGCCATAATTATCTAAGTTATGGCTGAGCAACAACGCACTAAACTGTTTTTTGATGAAATAAATAAAAAAAAAAGACTTTTAGTAAGTAATAAAGTCCCAAAATAAGAGCTTACGACTTTAATCTTTTAAAGAATACTTCATTACATTTTTAGAGCTTACTTAGCTCAAAGCTATATGCTTTTCTATGTGCTTATTAACTATAGCCTTTCTATATGATTCTTAAACATACACTTACAAGCTTCTCTCAAGCATTTAGAATATATTATAAAAACTGATTGCACATATAAAAAATATATATATTAGACAATTTATTCAATCACAGCCTCTCTCAGCGCTTCTCAAACAAAGGTATCTAAGCATCTCGTATAATATAAAAAAAATAAAACGATTAATCAATCATTCTTACATTCAGAATTGTTTTAGCATAGTTAAAAACTGCAGAAAGCGTATTTTCGGAAACGAAATACAAATTTTGAAAAACTCTCAAGTTTTGTTAATTTAATTATTTAAATGACAAAATGTTTGACAGCTTTTAGTGTAAACTAAATGTTAAGCTGGTCGGCTCGAAGTCAATGTTAAGTAATTATAAAATTCTATTTTTTTATGTGAAATGTCTGCTGACTTGTTAAATCCTTTTTAATTTTCTATTCAATCGCTTTATCGTAAGTCACTTTTTTAGCACATCACATATATATTACTTAATACCTATACTTGCAAGAACAGAATTAACAGACAATAATTGTTAAAATTTTTTTGGCAGCCTAAAAGTCAGACAGGTAGCTAAATGAAAATCATCACAAATCCATAAAACTAATACTTGAAAAAAAGAGAAACAGAAACCCAAAGAGTTGCCACCTTTGCACACATACTAAACACAAGCGATACACCTCGGAGCTGCTGCTGCGCTCGGCGGCGGGCCATATAATTTGGTTAAAGGCCGTAGCATAGCACAACAGCAGCACCCCATGGTTATTAGATGGCCAACTTAAACGTGGCAAGGATCGTTTTCATTCTTTTTTTGCCCTCTCGGTTTTTGTTTTGGCTTTTTTTGCATACTAAACGTCGCCGATGTTAATCTGTGTGGAGCTGAAGCGGCACTGGCACAGCAAGGTATCGATTACTGCCACCGGGTTACGCAGCCGCAGACGCGTTGCGTTTTGTGGCAGACAATAAGCCACACACAAACACGCACACACACACACTCCTACAGGGCAGTGGAATGAAGGACCGACAAGTGTTTCCCAGAAATTCCAAGAAATTTTGGGGCCGAACCAGAAAAGCATTGTGCGGCGCCTGGCAATTAATTGTGCGCCAACTTGGCGGTGGTCGGGCGTGGGTTCAACGCAGTTCGTTCAGTATAGGATTACAGTCCAGTACAGGCCAGTCTGACAGTCAGTCCAGTCTGTCAGTCTAGTCTGTCAGGCAGTTCGTCCGCTTTGCATGCTGAACGCGCGTTCATTATGCACCGTTTTGCACTATTTTCCTCACAGAAAATCATTAGAGCTGCCCGCAGCGTTGAGCTGGACCCAACTATATCGTGGGAATATGGCAAATAAACTCGCCCAAATTACACACTCACAGAGAGAGAGAGAGAGAAGAGAGCGAGGTAGATGAGGTGCGAGTGCGCCTAGACAATTCGTAAACCGCAGTCGCTCCAGGAAAAGTGCAATAAAAATTTGCGCAAATTTCGTGTTTCTGTTGGCCGCAATTGCTATTGACTTGGCCTATCCATGGCTGTGCCGAGTCCAATACTGACTTGGGCTGACTGACGCCCCATGCATATTAAAACTTGCCTTAGATTGATACCTGTGTATTTTTCTGTGTGTGTGTGTAAGCAGATGAGATGTAGATACAGCTACAGATGCAGATGCAGATACAGCTGTTAGCCCTGGGCGCCTGTGATTTATTTGCTGCGGATTTTAACGATGGCGCTGAGGGACGCCATAAAAACTTAAAGATCGAACCAAAGAGGCGCATTTAAAATGCATTTCCCCTTAATAGTTTGGCATTATGTTTAAGCTTTATGTGCTAATTAGTGGGCCCGACGGGTATATTTTAGCCCGAGTCTTAGCCCTTATTTTGTGAGCGTATTCCGTATTGCGTATTGCATATTACCTCTGCCTGCTGCCCGCTGAGCTGATGATGACAACAACAAGATTTGCGCCTAATTTCTGTGGAGCACGTAAACTTTGTTGGATATCTCTCGCTAGTGAAGCGTAAAACAAACTGCGGGCCAAGTAGCTTGATTAAGATCTTGACTGCCGCTCTGAGATTAAACATGTGGCAGCTACCAGTGGCAGTACCAGCACCGGTGGCACCGGCACTGCCTCTGGCAGCCATGAGGGTGGAAGATTTTTAACTGAGAGGCAGCTCCTACGCCCGCCTCCAACACAAAAACAAACACAGGCACAGGTTGGCTGCTGACGCCTCGCTAAGAATCGTGTTTATGCTTTTAATTAGCAACAACAACTTGTACAGTAAGTAGTTGCAGCAGCAGCAGCAACACACAGCAACAACTTGGTGCTACTTAGTGCAGATTTCAAGGTACCGATAGATATATTAAGAAATGACATGACATGTCTCGCTCACTCCACCTCATCCTGAACCTCGCTCAGATAAATTTTGATGTAGATTACAAGCCAAAGATGCGCGGGAGTTTTCTGGCTTCCATACTTATAAATCTTTTAGTTGTTGCCAATGTTGTTGTTGTTGTTGTCGCCATTAACACGTTTTCGTCTTTTTTGGCGTGCTATACTATGGATGAACATTATCATATTATCACCCGAGCAGGCATCTTGTTTATGATAAATATTTAAAAACTTATTAATTATGCCACAAATAGGCAGGCGTAGAGGCTGCCAGCTGCCCAGAACGGCCAACTAGCTGGCATTTTACTCAGCTAATTGGGAATTGCCTTGGCAGGCGTTCCGTAACGAGTGTGGGAGGATGGTTCGCCTACGGTCCATAGATTTAAGTAGCAGATATTGATTTTGAGTTCAAATTTTAAGTACAATTCATGCTCATGCATATGTATTTAACTTCGGCATTTTATATAAATTAAATAGCGTGAAATTCAAAAAAGATTTCTTAGTTTATGTGTGGAAAATAACCTCTATATAAATACTAGACAAAATATTTTCCGTGGCGAATAAATAAAATAGCAATGTTGGCATTTTCTCTCTCCTTTTGTTATAAATATAACTGTGGACAGAAAATTGTTAATTTACGTCTCTATAAGAGATTATAGATTGGATTGCTGTTGGACATAGCGAAACATTCGAAATAGGCCCAGTTTATTCCATTGTCAAGCAATGCAAACAGTTTCAAGTACGAAATGTAGACAAAATCAGTCAACCAATCAACTAGTGCGACCCTTCACCAACACTAAGCGAGCACGCCCACTAGCTGCCCATGCCAGTGCCAAGTGGCATTGCCAGTCGAAAGCAATCCAATCATATGTTGTCTGAACTCAGGCGACTATCGCAGCATTTAAATCAATATTCGTTTTAATTGTACAAATCACCTTGACTTAATTCTGAGTGTGTGCTTGTGTGTCTGTGTGTGCAAGTGTGTGTGTATGTTGAGGCCCCCCCTTGAGCCGACCACTCAATTCGGCTCAAATCTGTTCTATTATGGGCTGTTGGCAAATGCCGCCGCCTGGCAAAGGCGATCGGATGCAGGCCAAGACAAAACAGACGGTCCCGTGGCCGTGGCGCTCGTTTGCATTGCATGCGGCAACAGTTTGTTGCATGCAACGTGGACGCACACACACACTTGGGAATGTGTATCTCAGAGATACATGTGTGTGATTGTTTTAAATGTTAACATGGCCATTTAGAGGCAATAACAGCGGCAAAATGGCAGTCCCCGTCTGAGAAAGCCAGAAAGGCGCGGGCACTTGCTGTTATTACAACAATATTACCAATATTTATCAAGCGCTTGCAAAATGCCCCAGCCAAAAGCCAACAATGGCAACAACGTCAGCATAAATAATAAAAAAGAGAGAAAAAAACTAAAATGCTTATACGCCGCGTGCGCCGCAGTCGTCGACGCCGCTGCATAAAAAGACAAATTTATGATTTATGAATTCAACCTTGTAAATAATATGCTCACAAAAGTACACACGGACAGATCGCTAAACGCTTGCGCCGCCGCGTGCTCGCCGGCGCTCCTCGTTCAAGCAACTGAGCAACCCAGCGCACAACCGGACAACCCGACAACCAGACAACCTACCAAGCAAAACTGACCAACCTACTTGTACAATTTTCCGCACAAGGCATGTGGCAAGTGTGCCCCACATCGACCAGCGGTGCAACAGTGCAACAACAACTGCAACAACTAGCAGCTAGTTGTATGATTTTTAAATGCGCGATGAGTTATTTATGCATCTCGCATGCGCTTTTGGTATGTGCGAGCAAATTAACCCTTTGATGATACACCATACAACAAAGTGACTTGGAACATTCCAAATGTACCCAAATAATTTCAACAAATTTTTAAATTTCAATGATATGCAAGAGTCCAACTGCAGTTATGATAAAATGCGTTCTATTAAAGAGTTACATTAACTTAATTAAACAACGTACTGACATTAACAATGTTTTTAAACATCTTTAAACGAATCCTTGTTTTTCGATTTTTAGAAAAAATATATTGGGAACGTGTATAAAATACTGTAAAGTTGATTGATTATAATATGCCAAATAGAAAATATATCTGTGGATATAATAAGTAGGAAACCACGAGCTTAAAATATGCATGCGAAGAGAATTATAATAGAATTCCGAAAACAAATTTCACCTAGAATCCACATTGAATAAGTGAAGAGAATATTTATTGACAATTTTGAGAAACAATTTGCGCAAATTACAAACAGAAATGCGAAATATCATTTACTTATGTGTCTTCTCTTAGTAAATCATCCGCATTCAATCTCGTGTAAGGACCCTGTAAAGGAATTGACTTCTAAACAGAACGATTAAGATGTTGTATTTTTATATCAAAAACATCTCTTAAATATTATAATATAAAATCATAAAATTATTTAAGAAAATCAAATGCCTTAGCAAAAAACTCACATGTTCTTGTTGCATGCATTTTTTAGCACAGTGCATTGCCATGGGTTAAGCATACAACAGTTGCCAGTTGGAGGCTGTGAAAACATATGCGCCTATGGCCAGTGTCGGCGAGGTCCATTATTAAGCTGTAGCTGTGAACGTGCTCATATATATTCTAATTGTTTTTATATTTCGTTTGTATAACCATCTTTTGATTATTGTCTCTTGCAGGTTCGATGCAAACAAATCGACGAAGGGCGCCTCGAAGATGCGGCGCGATCTTATAAATGCGGAGATAGCCAATCTGCGGGATTTGCTGCCGTTGCCGCAATCGACGCGCCAGCGACTGTCGCAGCTGCAGCTGATGGCCCTGGTCTGTGTCTATGTGCGCAAAGCCAACTACTTTCAACAAGGTGAGTGGAGTGGAATGGAGAGGAGAGGAGTGGTGGTAAGACAGGAAGGGGTATTGCAGCTTGCTGCATATGCATGTTGATAATTGGCTGCACGTTGATTGAATATGCATGAGTCATGGAGTTTGGCATGGACCCCACGCCGCCAAACATGCGCCATGGCATTCGTTTAGCCAAAAACAACCGCTAGCTTTGGGTGCCCACTGAATAGTACTGACTAGTTGTAGTTGTAGTTGTTATGGTGGGGATACCACATCATTCATATGTCTATGTCTCCGTCTCTGGAAATTGTTTTTGGCCAAGTAATTGCCTAAGCGTCTAGGCACGCACCCAGGCTGCAAATTGCCACAGTGCCGCAGCCAGTTTTCGATCTCTGGCATTCCCTCACCCAAGCTCTCTCCCTCTATTTAATGTTCATCCTCCTTTAATGCGCATGCGCACAGGTCAATGCGCAGGCGCAACTGAACGAGATCAACTCAACTCAGGCATTGCGCGCTCTTTATTTTTGTTTTGTGGATAATTACGAAAATTGTTTTTCAAATTAGCGTTGTGCGGTACATAAGACCCATAGATAACACACACACACATACACACACATACACACACATACACACACATACACGCATACAAATACGTACAAACCGTACTGTGCTGTTGGCCTGGCTCTTAACTTGGCGAGCATCTTTGCCAGGCCATGTGAACTCGACGCTAGGCCCGGTCTGCCTCAGCTGCGCTCCCCTTTAGCCAAGGCAATTTCACAATTGCAATGGTAACAACGACGTCTGCCTTGCATTGCTATAAATATTGCGATAAATCAAAATGTGCGATTTATGTGTTCTACAAATTGCAAAAAATTAAACTTAAGTACTGCTTTTTTTCTCTTCTTTGCCATCTCCCTCGCTCTCGCTGGATCTAACTTACTTTTATTTATTTTTAAATTTTTTTTTTTGGAGCAATAAGTGTGAGAAATTGTCGGCGTTTGTTAGCTTGTCGTTTGCTCTGGGTGTGTGTGTGTGTGTGTGTTTGCATTGTTGTTGTTGTTGTTGTTATTATTGTTCATTGTCATTGCACCGTTTAAAAGCATTTATAATCACAAATTGTGTTAATATTGGCACGCTATCGCATCTGTTATGGAACATCTGAGCGCACGCGGCTTATCTTCAAGTTCAGGGCATTATATTTTTTTTGTGATTGTGGGTGTGAGTTGCTGTGGGTGTGGCTCCAACTCTGGCTGTATCTCTGGCTGAGGCTGGGACTGGGGCGGCGCGTTGAGATATGCGATTAATGAAATATTTATAAACCAAATTGAGTTTTCACAAAACAATTATTAATGCGCAACGTTTTGTGCAGATTAGCCGACGGCTTGAATTGCATTGTGAAAATACTTGTTAAGCACATTTTCATTCGCTGGCCCATAATACCCTATCGGCTGGTAACTATGAAAGTTGCATGAACTCTTAGTTCATATAATTTTCTTGAAGCTTGTTTGTCAATCCTTTTTTTCAGCCTGCAAGCAATAATGCGGCTAAGAAGTAATATTTAAACGCAATATTTTAAAATAGGAACAAGTAAGAGGACGCTTGTCGGGAGTGCCCGACTCGGTAATACCGTGGATCTTCTTTAATCAATACCAAATGCAGCACACGCTAAAAGGAGAGGTGGTGGCAGTAGCCAAAAAATCGAAGATACTTGATCAGTATATACCATTCTAGAAGCTAGATGTCAAATTTTGTGGTTCTGGCTCTTAAAACTAAAGGGATTTTCCCAAGAAACTTTATTTCGATATGGATTTTCATCGATAGCTTGGAAACGGGAAAGAAATTCCGTAAGAAGCTAGGAGGACACTCTTTCAAAATTTCAACACGGACAGATCTATTCAGCTATTGATGCTAATCAAGAATATACATACATATGCACAAAATCAAAATACCCTTTTTAGCCATTTTCAATGAATTCAGGGTATAATAAAATAGATATCAGCTCGATTTGAAAAGGCCTAGTACTTATTATATAAATATTTATATTGTATTCAAGATTTAAATTCATACTAATTTAAAAAGTAAAAGTAAACAAAAAAATTAATAAAAATATTTAAATATTAACAAAAAAATGATACACGTTAAACCAGGAATATTTAAATTAAATACCTTACCAATTAAAATTGTTAAAAGAACCTTGTTCATCAAATAATGAATTCTAAAGTAAATTGTTAGAAAGCAGATAAGAGTTTAATGGAAATTCAAGAGTCAATTCGGAAAATTTACGGCCAAGATATTTAAACGCAAGCGCTTTAATGAGTTTCCAATGAGTCTTTCAAGCGGGCGGCATGCGGCCACGCCCTTTATTTGAGTGCCTTAACCTGGCTAACAATCGATTCAAAATTGTTTGCGCAAACGGATTTCTTGGTATTGTTGTAATATTAAAACACTGCAAAAATCTGACTGCATTCATGGCCTTTCCGTTCAAGTTCAATGAAATTACCAGTTGCGGTTGCTGCCGCAGTGATTGTTGTAGCAGTTGTTGTTGCTGCTGCTGCTGCTGTTGCTGTTGATGTGACTGTTTCTTTTGCCTTTTTACCAGGTGCGGGAGTATCTCGTAGTGTTTTAAAAATAATTGATCTTGATGCTGACTGCGGCGCAGCTGCAAACTGCTAACTGCAATTGAACTCAGTGATCGCTGTTGATTTTCGCTTTGTTGTTGTTATTCTTACTGCTGCAGTTGCCGCTGCTGCTGCTGCTGTTGCTGTTGCCATCTCAGTGACAATGACACATTTTCTTTTTGTGATTCACTTGTTTTTGTAATGCAAGATCGTCGTCGCTTATTGTATGTAGAATATAATCAATGAATGCACAATCAATTGCATCTAACAATCGCCGTCAGAGACCAAGTCTATTATTAACAGATACTTTTTTAATTAGCTTCGCTGAGTTGTATGCATACAAATTACCCACAGAGAGGTATGGGAAAATCTAAGATAGTCAAACAGATTTACCTCTAACTTAAGGCGGATGCTTAGGCGCGAATGTAGCTGGGCGCGGCTGTGAAAAGACATTAAAGGTCAATAGCTGAAATTAAATTAAATTAATTAAATATACATTAATACATTTTTTTATATTTTTTGTTTGCAGTCTTCAAGCGTCACAATGCGCTGCATCAACATCATCAGACAGCAACACCAAATATTGGCTTCTCGAAGGTAGGAATAAAATAAACATATTTATAGATTAAAATATAGAAATTTTCTAAATTTTGCAGAGAATAATATATTTACATTTAAAAAAGTATACAATTTTAAAAGTAATAATAATTATTAATGTATCAAATAATTATGTATTTCTTGAATTTTCATATTTTTAAGCATAGTTTCATTTTAAATACCAATAGATAAACTTACAACGAGTTCAATTCATACCAACATTTTTGAAAATTGCATTAATTTGCATGTGAAGCATATAAAATCATCTTATAATCCCAAAAAATGTTTTATTATCCCTATCACTTATTGTTGTTCCATTAATTGTACTTGTATGTATTACTGTTTGCTTAAAAGTGTCACCAATTCAATCAGTTTAGTTTATTCAAAATGAGAAAGGAGGATAATCGTAGCGTTTATCTCATTTTTACAAGATGCAAGAAATGATGCGTTGGCAACTCAATTAAAAATTTCTGGTACTGCCACTGTGTCAGTTGAAAACAACTCAATTTAACTGAGGCGCGTTGACAACTCAACTAGTGAACCGAAAGTTCCAGAGAAAACAACTCTATTAATGGCAACAACTGTGGCATATCATAAGCCAGAAATCATTTAGCCACCGCCACTTGCTGCGCCAAAATAAAAGAAATAATAAAAAAAAAACGGAGAAGAAAACAATAAATGCTGCTCTTAGCCAAAAACAACAGCAACAATACAGAGCAGACAGTAGTCAGAAGTCAGTAGTCAGTCAAGCTGCCTGCCGCTGCCACTGGCTGCTGCGACTGTGGCGATGGTCGGCAGATTGATCTACATACCTGTGCGCACTCGTGACTGAATTAAATACACATATATAAATATATAGGTATATTTGGGTACAAGTATGCAGGATAGCAGCTAACAGAGTCAATTTCCAGTTGTCAACTCCGGCAACTTCTTTGGGCTAACAATTTATTAGTGCGCAGACGCGAAAATGAATTTGCATTTTCAACACAATTCTTGGCCAACTTAATAGAGGGTGTTTCTTTCACAAATACTTTAATTTGATTTCAACATCTACATTCAATAGATAAACTCTCAAATTGTTGCTCTTGTAAATGGCAAGTTGTAAATTCGAAGTTGATTAAAATTAAGTCTAAGTTGTTCAGAATTTCTTGTGTAGTTATAAATATTAAATTTAATTGAAATCTTTATTTTTGAAGATTAACACAAAAAAAAAATATTTAAATCTTACATTTTACATTTTTATTTTACTAATTTTTCTTCATATATATTAAGGAATACATTTTCTTCAGCACAGCCCTAGTTGTCTCCATGTGTGTATACTTCTAAAAACTAGTAAATATTGAAAAACAAATATATTATAAAAGAAAAGGTTACTTTAGGACATTATAATCTTTTAATATTCTTTATTTCTTTATTGATTTAAAAAAAAAAAGAAAATTAAAAAAAGAATAAATTTATAGATTTGAGCATTTTTTTCTTTAGTACAGTCTTAAGTTGTCAACACCCTATATGTCCAGCTAGTACAAAACATATTCATTTGTCTTACAGGCACTCTCCGGCTTTCTCATGATGCTCACACAAAATGGCAAATTGCTCTATATATCGGATAATGCTGCCGAGTACCTGGGACATTCCATGGTAGGTTGACGTTTTCTTTTCTTTATTTTTTGTTTTTTTTTGTTCGCTTTAGGGAACAAAAACGATTTGCGCGAATAATTAGAAAAGCGCAGTCTATGAAAGTTTTTGGCTAAAATTGCTACAGCCGTTGATACAAATCTCTGACAAGCGACAACAGGCAAAGACGACAACAACAACAGCTACAACAACAGCAGCAACAACTGCAACAACAGCAACATTGATGTCGACCCAGCAACAACAAATATTTGTTGCAGTTTTTTTGCTGGCCGTTTGCTGGTTTGTCGGCTGGCTGCTGCTCCCGTTGACAAGTCAGCAACAACTGACTGCCACAGACTCGATTCATTGAGCTTACATAAATCTGCTGCTTGTACTACACAAAAGTTCCTTAAATCTGTTGCAAACAGCTCAACTTTGTTAGCTGCTGCTGCTGCTGCTGCTGTTGTTGTTGCTGTTTTAGTTGCTGTTGCCGCTGTTTCAAGTTTTGTTTATCGCACGTTTACGCTGCTTAAATAGCAAGGTTATACATCGTGGCCTTTCACTTTGCATTTGAAGTACTAAAGCTAAATAAATATATGTGCCTGAGCTGCATATATAAATGCACTCGCATGCAGCACATGTGACATATCTCCGTTCTACATAACGAATACTAATACGAATACACAAGTGCGAGTGCAGTTACTTATTCATCTAAAACAAACAGTCAGACTTTGACAAAGGTACAACCTCTGACTCGTATACATATATGCCAAGAGATTGTTGAATGTTGATGTGCCTCACCGGTTGCTGCAGCTTTCCAGCATGGACCATGGCGCAGGGGGCGTATGAGTTTTCTGCACTGCAACTGCAGCAACTGTCAAAAACTTGTGAGAAATCGCAGCATATTGCCGATAAATCATATTCCATGCTGTCCTAGTTGTGCCCAGCAAAATTAGATACATAGATTGTTTATACAGTTGTCGGTGTTTTTTACTGTCGAATTGCTGTATATGTGTACAAATCTTATAAAATAGTCGTTATCAATTTTGATCATAAAAAAATGTATATAAATATTTTCAAAAGTTATTCTAGAGAGCATGATCTTAATTTCAAAAACACTTTAGCACTCTTTCTGAGAATAGTACGTTAAGTAAATGCGACGAAATATAAAAAAATTTTAAATTTTTTTTGCCAATGACAAATTTGTAATATTGGGCATGAAATATATATACCTGTCCTTCCAATACTTAAGGAGTTAACCATTTCATTCGCTGCAAAAGATTGATCCAAAGTGGATATGCTACTCTGTTAGAGTAAAAAATAACTAAGGAATGGGTACTGATAAATCTAATGTGGATGTCTGCGAACGTAATTGAACTATTAATCTTGACTTTTAAAAGTGTATTTTGAGTATGTCGCAAGGTGACAAAATTCACAAAAATAACAATATTCATTTATATTTGATCAAACGTTTTGCTATGCAAGTTTTATATTATTCTATAGATATATATATATAGAACTGCCGTATATTAATCAATTTTTAAAGAAATATTGTCAATATCTTTCATTTTGACCTTTGCTTCTTCTTCTTCTGGAGAATTGGCCTTCAATCCAAAAATGCGTAAGATCTAAACAGCTTTTATTTATCTTCGGAGAACAAAAAGTGGTTTTAAAACAGTTTTTTAATCTTATATATGTTTTAAGTTACCTAACTCTTGCGAGAAATAGTTTGTGGAATTTAATTTTAATTATAATATGCAAAGGCATTTCAATAATTCAATTAAAAAAAATTTTAAATCAAAAATCCAAATAATATATTTAACATTTTTAGCAGTACAATAGTGATGACATTTTAAAAGGCAACTTTAAGGCACTGCATTTGTTAGCCAATGCCAAATTCAAGTTGCAATAGTTTTCCGGCAACTTGTTGCCCAAGCAACGTCACTTACCTGAGACTGGACTAACTTTCATATCGAGTAGACATGGAAACCAACATAGGAGCTACAATTTTAAGGCCTGTCAAAGGCGAGTGTAGCACAAGAGCCCACACACACAAGCACAGAGAGAGGCTGGCAGGCCAATTGGCAAGCAAGACACTTGACAGCCTTTGGCCTTTGGGCCAGGCCTTATCAGGGGACACCCACAACAATAGCAGCTAAATGGTCAAGCGAGTTCATAAATTGTCCGTATGCCATGTGTTGGCATAATTACGGCACAATAACTGCTCACATGAGCGGGCCCAAAAGTGGATTGCCCAACCTTTTAATTTGTGGCAGGCAGCAAGCCGAGCTCACAGTTAGTTAACGGCCAAAACAGCAGCAGCAACAGCAATAGCAGCAGCAACAACAAGCAAAGTTAATTAACAAACTGCCAAAAATGTCAATGAAGGCCTTGTTGCAGTTTCAGTTGCTACCGCCTGATGTAGTTGTTCTTGTTGTTGTTGTTGTTGCTGTTGTTGTTGTTATTGTTGCTGCTGCTGTTTGGGCATCATAATTCCAATTCGATTTTTGCATATTGCCAAAACAAGTTGCCATTGTCATATGTCATGTAGCGACAGCGGCCATAAATAAATTACAAATGCAACAACATGGCATTGTTTATTGGCCGATCGCTTGGTCTATCGCTCGCTCAGTGTTGGCCATAATTGTCAACAATAACAAAAGCACAAGCCAGCCCCAAAGCCGATGACCGTGCGAAAGTGGCACTGCATTAGCTGACATATCATTAACAAATTAAATTTGTCATCCCAATAAATTGCTATTAAATACATGTCACTTAAAATTCTTCATCTGAGAATATCTCTCTGTAATAGAAATATATTTTTAATTGTAATTTATTATAACAGTAGTACAATTAATAATAAATATAATAATTTGTTTACGTTTTCAATTTGTATGCGAAATTAAATTTGAAATATTTTATTTATTTTCATTAAAGAAATTTCCCAAGCTTTTCTAAATTTTACCCTATTTTATTACCCTATTTTATTTATAACTAGGCTTTAAAAAAATTTTTCTTTTTAATTTTTGTGTCTTTTTTGTATTATTATCAGCTTATTGAAATCTAATATATTTCGTATAGTCTGGATTAAACATGTTTATTAAATTGAAGTTAAGAAGATTTCACAGTTGAAAGCAAAATTTCAACTTCCTAGCTCTTACGGTTTGGGCTGTGCGTTGATCACCAATCAGTCAGTCAGTCAGGACAAACAGTTCTATACATAGAGATAAATCGGCACAATTAGTTGTAACCATAATGTAATATGACACTTGTTCATCAAATTCAATATTCTGTTCTTTTGACTTGCTCGCAGGAGGATTTACTTATACATGGGGACTCCGTTTACGATATCATTGACAAACAGGATCACGCAACCATACAAGCCGAACTAAATCGGAACGTGCCACCGCAGCCAGGTGGCAGCAGCAACAGCAGCAACGTCGGTGTCGGTGTCGGCGTCGGGGTTGGCGATTCGACAGCCAGCAATGGAACTGGCGGCGCCTCAAGTCTGGAGGGAGAGCATCGCATGTTTCTCTGTCGCATGAATGTTAGCCGCAATGCGCGACGGCAAATGCGTTTCGGTGATCAGAAGGTGAGTGCAACACACAGACACACACAGAGCGCGTTGTGTGTGTATATGAGTAAGCGCGTGTAGTCTCTGACAGAAATTGATGAATGAATCACCTGGGAGCGTGTTGCGTGTAACACTTGGAAACCAGCAAGCCGAGAGCCTGCAGTCGCAGTCGCAGTCACAGCTACAGCAGTCACAGCAACAGCCACGCAATGAATTATGCATGAGCCGGGCGCGCATGCGTCGTCTGCCAACCGGCTGGCCAGACCGGGCTGGTCATACATCTTGCCAGGCACACAGCCAGCCAGCCAGCCAGCCAGCTAGCTAGCTAGCTAGCAGACACTCAGACAGCGATACGCTTTACTATAAGCTGACAAACGATGACAGTTGATGTGGAACGGGTGGGTGCCGCGTTGCTGTTGACTGCTCTGATTGGCCGCCTCTTCTGATCATCATCATCATTATCAGCAACATGTTGATGATGACGTAAAAGAAAAAAAAGAAACAGAGAAGCCGCAACAATATAAATGAATGCGAGCACAATATGAAGTTGTCAGCCAGTCAACCATTCAGCCAGGCAGCCAGTCAACCAGGCTGCCAAGTACTTGGCTCAGCAGGCAGCCAGGCAGGCAGGTTGAACCAGACAAGACCAAATCTGTCAACGTGTTGCGGCCGCGCGACGAAGACGCGTTGAAATGATGTGAATGCTACCGTATGGAGCGCTGTCACAATCTTGTGGGCGGTCGCTGGTCTTTTATGCATATCTTATATATATTTTTTTTGCCATTTTTTATTTTTTCTTGTTGCTTCTTTTTTTATTTGCGCTTGAAGTGCGCAGATGTGCGCTGAGAGTTATGGAGATAAACCGAGGCGTTGACAGTTGCTGCAAACGTTTTTAATTAAGTTGAAAGTTGGCACTTTAATGAGGTGCAGGAAGTGTTGCCTCTGTGGCTTATATTTTCCCAGCTTCAGCTTATGACACCACATGTACCCACATGCATTCTGCTGTTTGGTGTAGGCTCTTAGAAAAACTTTAAGATGTTACATCTAAATAAAGATAACAGCAAGTAATTCAGGTCGTAGGCTATGGCTATGCTTGCAATGACACTAGCTTAAAGAGGCACTTAAGCATAAGGGTTAATCCAACAGAAGCGCAAATAACACAAGCGACATGGGTCTCAGATAACTGCCAATTTAACTAGATTTAATCTTGAATTTTGTTTAATTAAGTTTTTTCAATATAATTACTCAAGTTTCGAGCAAGCTTTTATTGGAAAGGGTTCAATACGTAAGCTTCGTGCTCAGTGTATCGATGCTTAGCCTACCGGGCTACTTAACCCACTGGGTTGGAGCATGCACGGCATTAAAATAAGAAAGAAATAAGTCAACATTATTTAAATTTAAAATTGCTGCTGTAGTTATACCATTGGCCTCTCGTTCATCGCTCAGACACCTAAACAACACAGGCCAAAAATCTTAAGTTGACAAGGAACAATTATGTGTCTGTTTTGATTTTGACGTTTTTCATACAAACTTTGACCCCCACTTGCGGGTCTAATTGTTCAGTCTCATTACTTGCTTTCATTTAAAATTTGGGATTCGTCGTTTTACGACGAATAATAAAGTCCACTGAAAAGAGAACCAAGAAGACATTCAAGACGGGTAGATTTTGCGAAAAGAGTGAAAATGGATTTTTGGCAGATCAGATGTTTAGCAAAAAAAATTTGATACAAGCGTTTTTGGCGAAATTTCCACACTTGCCGGAGGTATTCCCCAAAACCCCTTCTCAGCGTGAACCTTCACATAAGGCAATTGTAAACATTTCAGCTTTCGAGCTCTTACAGTTTGGACTGCGGGTTGTTCACCAATTTGTCAGTCAGTCAAGACAGTCCATACAACAGTTTTACATATAGAGATATAGTTTAAAATGTGACTTAAGCAATAAATTATATCAGAATATTTGGATTTTTGCAAACAGCTGTGGTCACACTTTTAAATTGTTTCTAAACCGCAATTAATAATATTGCACTATTCAGTATAAGGTCTAATTGGATAATGATGTAAAGAAATTGAGTGTATTACTCATTGGGCTCACACGCTGAACCCAATTTGTATTTGGTAAATACAAAATAAGCGGAAGTTATACGGGTTTTAGGTTTCAATTTACATATCTTAAACTTTTGGATAGGTTCTACTAAATGTTTGGAGTTTTAATATTTAGCCATAGAATGTCGCCAGGGATTTGGACCCACATGAACTGGCAGCGATAACCCAGAGCGCAAACCAAAATGCGGCACATTCACCCGGCACTCGTTAATATGCAATAAAAATGGACCAATAAATAATTATGAATGAGGTCAGCATAGTTCAGTGCTAGTACCCAGCAAAGAGCATAGACAAAAGACAAAAAATAAAAACCCCCAACAGCAACAACAACAACAATAAGAGCAGACGATGGCGACAGCGCCGTGGCAGTGGCGCCTGCTCCCCAGCCTAAGGTCGTCTCATTTACCAAACTAGCAACAGCAACAACAACAACAACGGCGTCTGCGTCATCGATGGTTTGGGATCGGTTTCGGCATCGGAATCGGTTTGGGATTCGGGCTGCATTTGCATTTAAGCAGAAGAAGCGGCCATAAGCTACGAAATGCAATTGCAATGGAAAGCTAAATGCAGGCACGTTTTAATTGGGAGACAATAGCTGAGGCTCTGACTGAGACTGAGACTGAGACTTGGTCTGGGACTTCCATTGAGACTGCCTGGTGTGTGTGTTGAGGCAGTTCCAATTGTGTGTGAATGTGACTCTGGCGTCCGGCTTGCGTATGCTGGCAAAAAACATTTCAGTGATTGCCTTTTTTAAATTATGGAATCAGAGTAAAATGTCTATGAGGCCCGAAGCATGCCAGCCCAAAAATGGCCACAACTAGCGGCGACAACGTGCGCGCCAATTTTCGTGGGAGCCGCCGCCTCAAACAACAACAACAATATCGAACCTGGCCAAAGCTGTAGTCGCACTCTCTGTCTGTTTTATTTTTGCAGGTCGTTCTGGTACAGGGTCACTATTTGTCATTCCTGCCGCTCTGCAGTCGGAACGAGCCCGTCTTTTTAGCCACCTGCACGCCCATCGCCATGCCTGAGACGCGCGAGTGTGTGGTGCAGGGCGCCACCAATGTTTTTACCACCATACACTCCATGGATATGAAAATCGCACACATCGACAAGAAGTAAGTATTGCTCGTTACGGGATATTTGCCCAATCGAAATCTCATTAATAATGCATTCCATATGCAAATTCTTCATTCTCATTGCAGTGGCGAGTTCCATTTGGGGTATGACAAGGCGTCGCTACAGGGCACATCCTGGTATAATCTGATACACAGCGAAAATCTACGCGAGGCTCAAAGCAAACACAGGCTAAGTAAGTCATGAAAATGTTTATATTCAGGTAACCAATGTGAAAATAGAAGAGGGGGAATCTAGTTCACGATTAATAAATCAAACAGATGAGCTAGAAATCTAATTTGTCCACAGATACGATCTAATAGCCTTATAAATTGATGTATCACTACAGTATATATCATTTTATCGATCGGGTAAAGCGTTAGCTATCTTAATTTCTATTATATTCAACTTTTTAATTTTGAGTACACTAAGTTCTATTTAGAATTATACTTAGTTTTGCAACCATTTTCCGGCCAGTTTCCCTTGTTTTCATAAACATATCTATCGCCCTATTAGTTACGCAATCGGAACAGGATCGTAGTTGTATACTGCTCGTACGCATGCAGCGCTCCAGTGGTGAATACACCTGGGTGCATGTGGTACTCCAGGTGCGAGATAGTCCAGACTCAACCCAGCAGCCAGTCATTGTGTGCACCAACCAGGTGCTGAAGTAAGTAACGCCCCACATACGTAGTAGAACTTTGCTAATAGCGAAAAACCTTCTTAGTGATCGTGAGGCTTCCATAATGCTGGCCAACTCTTGGCTGTATCACTATTACACAGTGCAGTCGAAGATACAATTTGGCATGCCGCTGGACAGTGCTATGCGTGTACCGCCTGGCAGCAGCTCCACCGGCTACTATAGTTCGCATCAGCAGCCGCATGGAGGCGGTGCCACCAGCGTTGGTCTGGGCATATCCGGCGCGACGGCAGGCATGTCCAGCGTATTCGGCAGCCATCATGCGCATCATCATCACCATCATACAACGGCAGCAACATCCTACCATCACCATCATCCGCATATGGGTGCCGCCTATGGGGGCGTCTACCATGCAGAAGGCGCACTTGAGCTTAAGGAGGATCAACAGCTATATGGCTATCAGCCGGGCACCGGTCCGGAGCCTGTAGATTATAGTCAAGTGAACGGCACGCCCGCCGGCAGCAGTCAAAAGTCCACACAGTCGGCAACACCGCCGCCGCCCAAGAAGCGAGCGCGTAACAAACTGGAGCCGCTTTATTTGCATGCCGAGCGTTCACCGGCGGCAGCTATCACGCCGGAGCCGGACTGTTATGCACTGCATCCGGGCGCTGCTTATGCTACAACAGCAGCTGGTGTGGCAGCCAGCAGCAGCGATGCCACCGCCTCGGTGATTTATGCCACCATTGTGCCAACACGTCCGCGTTTGCTGAACAAGACGCTGCCGCCAGATCCGGCGGATTTTATTGAACAATGGAATCCCAGTCCGCCCTGGTCGGAATCGGCGCAGAAGGCATCGCTGGATAGCTTTGGCTCCTCGCATGAGCTGAGTCCCTGCATAACAACAACGCCACCCACGCCCACCAGTGCCACGCCCCATCATGGCGGCATTAGCGCCCAAACAATCGGACCAGCCTTCAGCTTTGAATGGATGTCGGATCCGCTGGTGCCGGTTGCCTACCAGCAATGGTCGCCAGCAACTGGAGACCATCACCAGCATCTCTCCCAGCATTTGGCAGCGGCACAGCAGCAACATCAGCAGCACCAACATCAACAGCAACAGCAGCCGCATCCACAGCATACACAGCTAACACATCACGGTGTGCATGTGGAGCGTGTGGAGCTTGCCGCTGAAACGATGGTGGGCACGGGTCGTGCGGATGCCAACGAACCGGTCGAGGATAGAGGTTAGTACAATTTGATTGGCACGTTTCAATCAGCGTTCAATTGGCGACCAACTGTTAATTAATTCAGAGCTCAAAAACAAAGTAGCGCCCAAAAACAGAAACATATCCAACAAAAAATGTTAAATCTTTTGATATTCTGGAGCGCCCAGCATTAGGAATTTGCGCTTCCGCTAGCAAAATGACACGCTTATGCGCCCTCTCTAAAATATATACATATATATTTTTTTTCTTCTTTTCTGTATTCCTAATCAACTCAATTCAGATCCAAAAAATTAGTGACCTGCGCATTATGCAAAGCTCGGAAATACCCAGCGCGGCTCGGCGTGCAACGGGCAGGTGATAATCACACTTAAATTAATTGCCACTTGTCATCTTAGCATTTAAATTATTTGTATCTTACTCTAAACAACAAGAAAACAGACAATAACAAAAACAATAATAAAAACAATAGTAACAATAGTAATATGTAGTATAGATATCGTTTATAAGCATTATTCAATGGCCAGCTCCAGCTATCTAACTAATTTGAGTACAAAATGCTCATATAACCTTTTTCTGTGCAATTTTGTTTGAAGCTTAAACATTAAAATATAATAGGTGTATATGCCTATAGTTTGCATATACGGCTTGAAAATTAGTTTTACGATAAGCACCTGGAAAAGCAGAAGAGCTCTATTAGTTGTAAACCATTTTAATGGCGTTTTTATGACATTTTTTATGAGTATTTTTCGTATCGGTATTTGTACTTTGTTTCTCTAGACAAATTAGGTTAATTATTTTATTTATGAAAAGATATTTATAAACAATATTTATTACCAATATACTTTGCTTTTGCTTATACAATAAACAAACAAAAGTATTTTGAGTTGAAAATTAAAAGAAAAAAAACGACAAATTTGATTTTTATTTCAAATGCTTTAAGGGGTGAGTAACTTAATAAAAAAAATGGATGTTTTCCATTTTTGTTTTTTAATTATTTTAATAAATTTGCAAATCTTTTTTCTTCTTTAAATATTTTTAATATGGTTCACATCTATTTCTTTAACTGATATTTAATAATAACATATCTAAAAATATATAAAATATAATATTGCAGATGAGATAAATATGTAACTTTTTAATATATTAAAAAACATAAGAAAAAAATATTTACTTCTAAGGGTTTTACAAAATCTAGGTTGTATCTCGTTAAAATTGTTTTATAAATAACGGTTTTTTTTTTGTATTCATTTTAATCACCCACATACATATATGTTTCTTCTTAATCTTTGGTAATTGATCAACTTGGCTAAAATTAATTTGCCTAAATAGGAAATATAATTTATTTATGACCGATCGTGATAATCACCATCAACTGATATGCCTGAAAACTCATCGCGTTTTCAAATAACATGTACAAATAATTCTCATTGTCTGCCGTTTATGTGCTCTCAAGGCGACTCTTAAAATTTATGATCAGTCTTAGACTTAGACTCAAGCACAAGTTTTTATGGTAAATGTCATGATTTTTAGTTTCCATTAAATGCATTGCACTCTGAACCAGCCACCGAAACCGCAGCTCGAACAGTCCGTTGGCCAAGCTCCCAAACGCTTTCGCCCAAATATCCAAATGCCACTCCCCAATCCCCCAAACCGACTTGGTAATAGCGCCAAGCCGGGGCCAAGTCATAGACATTTTCAATTTCAAACTGCTCGTACCACTTCATGGTGACGACGCTGGAGCTGCTGACGCAGAACAGACGACAGCCAGAATCGAAATTCACACACAGCAGCAGCAGCCGTTGCTGGCCAGGCTGCCCGATGAGGCAGGCTCCTTTATTTTTCGGGTTTCGGCTGCTGCGGATGCAGTTGCAGAGATCTGTGGTGATATCCCGCAAATATTGTAAGTAGAATGGCCAAGCAAAGCAAACAAAACAAATCGAAACGAAACAAAACCAAATAAAAACCCAAGCTAAACGGAACGAAACGCTGGCGACGCAGACGCCGCAGCTGGCGCGATTGAATGACTCCTCGTCGTCGGCCGTCTGAGATACTGACTGTCTATGGACTTGGACTGGACTGGACGACGACACACTTACAGGCGACGACGGGCCACAGCAGCATTCTCAGAAATATTGGTGTAGGTCACAGCCAGAGATAACATGCTGCGCCATCGAGTGTGTGCGCTGGCTGGCTGGCTGGCTGGCTGACTGCTTGACTGGATTGGGTCTCAGTTCTGGCCTCATTGTATGCAAATGTGCCACGATCAGCGACGAGCCACCACCCGCCCAGGCCGTGGCAGCCCACTGATGCTGCAACTGCAACTGCAACTCTGACTGTGACTGTGACTGCGACTGCGACTGATGCTGTTGATGCTCCTGCTCATGGGTGCCAGAATCGTTTTGTGTGCGAGAGTACTCGTACTCGTGTTCGTATTCGTACTCGCTGTCGTACTCATACTCGCATTCACATTCGCATTGGGTTTTGAGTTGTACGATTTTTGGCATTTTTGCATTTCCTTTGTCCTAGCCCAGGCCCAATGTAAGCTCCTTTGACCGCAAGGAGCACGGAGGATTGTTACATATTTTCCTCAGACCTCAATGTGTGTGCCACAAGCCACAAACACATAATCACAATAACAACTCAAGGTACTAATGCATAACCGAATCAAAGATACCCTCGACAGGTTAATTTTCATTTATTGGATTGCTTTACTTATATTAACTAAACACGTTTGTACACTGTTAACAACCTGGCGACTTTAACTAAAGCCACACAAATGGCGCATAAGACATGATATCTAATATCTCACAAATTATAAAAAATTAAAACTTTTATTGACAAGGAATATTAAGATGTGGGTTGCACTTAAGTTCTTTCTGAAAAACAGGTTCTGATTATATCATTCAGAAATCTGGAATATGTAGAATTGTCTGGAGTCGCGATTGATGTGTAATCGAAACACACACAGTTTACCTTACAATATCTTTTATTAAACTGAAAAACATTTACATTAAGATAAAAGCTTTTTTTTCAAAATTATGGTATTTTTTTTTATTTTATTTTTGTTGAAAAATGCAGCATGGATCGATTTTTTATATGTGATTTAACAGTTTTAGGACTGTATATTACGTTTTAAGGATATTAAATAATTCAAAATTATTTAATGCTCACCCTTTTACCATTTCCAAGGCAAATTCTTTATCATGTACTTTAAGAGCCAAATGGCAAAGTTGCAATACCACTGCAAGGGTATTCAAAAAAAATCAAAAAAAAAAAAACACAAAATTTTTAGAAATAAACGTCGACGACAATGGAAATGCTGCACACACAAAACAGAAAACATTTCAACAGGAACAACATGTAATTTTTGAGCTGCTTCAGCCCCAGCCCAGACTCCCCAGACATGCCGCCCGTGGGTCTCCCCCCCTTTAAAAGCCAACTCAGACTGAGCTAACCATATGCAATGCCTGGCTTGGCCCGTCTGGGGTCACGACACTTTTTGTGGCAACCACAGACGATGGCAGGAAAGCGCAGTCAAATAGTGGGAGAAGTATGGCAAAGGCATCAAGGCCTAAGGCTTGTGCTGCTCCTGCTGCTGCTGCGGCTGAGGCTGCGGCTGCTGTTGCTGTTGCCCCTGTGCCTTATTGTTTGTGCAACAGCAGCAGCAGCAGTTGGCGCGGTTGGACATTTTGGCTGGGGTCTGACCGATGGCAATGGCGACTGCGACTGCGACTGCCTGGCGTCAAGAGAATGCGTTGCGCTTGTTCCTTGGCTTTGATTTCGTTGCATTGTGGCCATTTCCTAGGAAAAAATGTTACATGAAATTAATAAATAGGCAAATAAATGTTAAACAGCTGCTGTTTTGTACGTGTTTCTCTTGTTGCTGCTGCTTTGCCGTTTGTTATTGTTGTATCTGCTGCTGCTGCTGTTGTTGTTGTTGTTGTCATTGCACGCGCACGGTAGCCATTGTGCTGCACACAGGGTGGTGGTGATGTTCCTGTTCCATGGCATTTGCATAACACCAAAGCAAACAAAAAAAGCCAAAAGTCCAGCACAGGATGTTTCCCAGGCCCTGTGAGATACAACTGTTGCTTCTGCCGCTGTTGCTGATGTCGGCTGCACTTCCTATCTGCCGGCCGCCTACTAAGCAGCCAGGTAACTAACGCCACTACCCCTCTCTCCCAACCCTTTTGGTAGCCCGAAGCCATGGCAAATCTCTCGTGCTCGCTTTGCCACTGCATGCCAAATCCTTTTTTTGCAGTTCACAGCAATTGCTTAGACCGCAATGGGGCCGAACTAAGCGGTTGCATTAGACTTGCCATGGAACTAATGCATTTATAGTCCAAGTCACTATGATTTACTCTACTCCGCCCTTACCAAAATCCAGATGATAAATAAAACCAACGATGGGGCTTGACTAAAAGCAACACTAAATTGTACCCTGTTAAAAGTGTGTCAAGAGCTTGAGCATATGGCTAAATAAAAGAAATAGAATTATATTATGAAAATATTGGATAAGTTAAGTATAAAACATATAAATATTTAGTATTGCATTGGTATTCATTTTGAATATTTTTTTTCTTTCCTCATCTGATTTAGGCATAACTTAAGCTAAGAGAGAACTTAAGACTCTTTCTTTTATTAAAAAATACACCCAGCCGCTTCCAAAGCGCCATCTCACTTGCACACGTCCAGAGAACTTCAAACCTTTGAATTTCAAATGGGCCACAGAGAAAATGCTAAGTCAAAGTCAGCATTGGCGCTATATTAATATGTAAGCCGCACAGGGGGGCTGTGGGGATAAGAAAAACATAATAATTCGTCTATAATTTATACACAATTGTAAATAAAATGTGTACAAGCATAATTTACACATAAAGACGATGCGCTACAAAAAAAACAGAAAAAAAAAAACAAAAAACTTGCAACATCATCACACGCGGATGTTGCACAGTGACTGGTGAAGGTGCAGGGTGAGCTGCATGGCCGAGGGAGCAAGCAACGGTGCTGGCAGGCGATTGCGATTAGAATGCAGAGCGGCCAGAGCAGAGCTGAGCAGAGCAGAGCAGGGCAGAAGATGGGCCAGACCAGGTGACTGAGAAATTGATCAACGCTGTGGCGGGACATAAACTAAAAGCTTATTTAACATTAATTTCGCCACGAAAATCACACAGCAATTTTAAACATCAGTTACATGGCGCAGGCAGCGACTGCCAGATCCAGCCAGGCAACCCCATTGGAAGCCACCGCAAACATGCGAAAATGTGCCCAAGCGACGCGAGACGCGCCCCTGCCACTCGCCCCACTCGCGCAGTTCGTGTAATCTAAGCTGCCATTAAACAAAATACAAGAAAACTTACGAAAACATATGCTACATATTACCGCCGATCCCAACTGAACTGCAACGAGGATGACAACGGAGGCGGAGCGGAGGCGCGACGATTCGCATCGCACAGTGACGGAAGTAAAGAAGCAGGCGCACAGTGGTATCGGTTGGAGTATTCTGTTACAAAATGAATGCTGATGACAATGATCTAAGTACTTTTTAAAATTTCAGTAAAATAAAAATATAAAAATAAATGTTGGAAAAATTTTATATTTATATTCAATAGTTATCAAATTATAAAAAAAGAAATAACATATAAATATTTAAATATAATTGCATTGTCGAATGGCGATTTGTTTGTTTTTTTTTTGACTAAAAGTGTTATAAGATTTGTGGTCAATGACTGAAAATAAAATACATTAAATGTTTTGACATATTATTTTTTTTAGCATTTGTTTTTTTTTTTTGGCCTCAAATATTTTTGTGCAATAATCGAAAATAAAATTAAAATTTCTTATAAATATTCATAGTTATTGAGTATACATATTTATATAGGTTTTGGTTTTCTGCCCACAGTTAAATGTAGCTGGCTGGTTGGCAGACTCAGCTCGCTTTTAGTGGGAGAGCTGCGGCTGAGCAATTGCACCTGCCTGAGCCTCAGTTTTAGCCTGTGCCTGAGCCTGAACCAAAGCCTCAGCCAGAGTCAGAGCCAGAGCCTGCTCTTTTTTGAACTGTGGCCATGTGCGATGCCGCTACAAGCAGCATAGCCCAGCAAGCTACAAAGATTTAGAGCGACATTAGAGCAGTCAATCCATCATGACTGAACATTACCATAAATTACACAGAAATAATTGATTATTACGAGTAGACACAGCGACCAAAGACAGAGCCCAGGCGCACTCGAGATACAGCAACAAGCGCCCAGTTCATTCTGCGTGTGCATCTGTGTGTACATTTATGTGTGTGTGTGTGTGTGTGTGTGTTTGTTGGGGGCAATGGTGCAACTGCTGCTCCGTTGCTCTACGCAGTTTAGCGAGCGCACCGATTTAGTTTAAATTACGTTGGGAAGATGCGCAACGGTCCCGGCCAACAAGTCGTTCAAGTTTTGACCGTCTTCTGAATCAGTTGGGCAATCATCGCTCAGACTAAGCACTTTGAACTCCACATACTGCTCCACACGCCTATCAACCTGAGTAATTGTAGTCACAAACCGCAACTCTGTATTTCCATTATTGTAAACAAATATTTATTTAACCAATTTAATGGTGGGGCAGACACATCAAGCTCTATAATTGCTCTTAATTTAAACTTAACACTTTGGAGAATATCAAAACATTAGAAAAAGGAAATATATAAGCTAACCCCCTTTAATTACCCTCTTCAATACAGAGTTTGTAGCTCTTCGCCTAAAACAAGATTTCTGCAAAGATCAAAATAAAATATATCTATATATTTACGTTAAAAGTAAGTATTTCTTCTGAAAACCTTTATTTTTACTTCTCGTTAGTTTACTTCTCAAGGATAAAATCCAAATATGCGCTTAACTTTAATATATGCCAAAACTAAATATATAATTTATTTATTACTCACTAATCATGCTGATGTTACCCTTCTATGCGCTTCCCACCCGTTTTGTAAGAGATTATTTGCACTCGCTTTAAATGAAATTTTACAATTGAGACTTTTTCAACTTTGTTGTGAGCCGCCTCTTTTTTTATGGTTACTCAATATTATAACGAGCTTCCAGCCATATCTTTGGCCAATGATCATCAGAGACAACGCTAACCAAGGTGAGCGTTAGACAGAGATGACGAGAGTATTTAATAAGGCTACTGTCGCTCGAATGATGCTTTGAATGATTGCAAGTGGCGATAATAGGGCAAGACACTGTGCTGTCAGTATGTCAAGTGGAAATGGACGACGCTTTATCGCGCTGACTCTTGAAGTTTATTACAGTGACATTTCAATTCTTCTGATTGGGATGATTTCGGTACCAACAATAGCCACTGCCGAGATCCCCACAGATCACAATGCCAACTGGCTAAAATCAATCTCTGCAACTCGGATTGCTCTCTCCCTCGTCTCTCTCTCTCTCTCTCTCGCTATCTCTGCCTTACACACACACTCTATCCCTCGCATTGATATTGCGCTGATTGTTGAAATTGATTGATCGTTGTATTTTTATTGAGTGATTGATATAAATACTGTTTGGCAGCAAATGCAAAGAGCTCGATCTGAGCACAAAAGGAAACAATAGTTTCAATTACAATAGACCCAACTAACTGGGGAATAAGGTTAGGAAATCTCTACCAGGGTTTTCGACTTCTGGCCATGCAATCGTATTGAAAGCTGCGCTAAAAATATTATTAGCCATTGAAATATTGTTTCCAAGGTGTTCGCACGCTAGCTCCAAACTCCAGGCTCCAGCTAGAGCTTATTGCTGCCTTCAATGTTCTTATCAAGATGCTTTCAATGTGCCGTTTAGGATTTTCATTTGCAGCATTTAGCTGCAAAACGCTCTATAAAAATAAAAAAAATAAAAAACTTTAAGTTGCTCTCGTGGCGAACTTGTGGGCGCTCTGTAAATTCGGATACGGATTCAGGTTCAGACTGGAATCTAGCGGCTCGACTGTATGTTGTTAGTTACTGGAGATGTGGTGGCCTCCACTCTACTCTACTATACTCCACGCGGCTGCTTCTGCCACGTTGCCGACACTCGTAAATTACAATAAATTATGTTGAAACTGATTATTCGACACAATTTATGAGGCCCTTTAAGTGGGCGTGTGCACTTTTATTTTATTGTGAATGATGATGTAAATGATGTTGGCAGGCACATTTTCATATTGTTGTTGTTCTTGTTGTTGTTGCTGTTGTTGTTTCTGTATACGTTGCACAAAATCAGCAACTTGGGTCAAGCTGTGGGTCGAGTTGAGTGCGGGTCAAGTTTTGGGCGACAAGATGGGTGATGGGTTAATGAGAGAAGCTTTTTTTGGGAAGGCTCATAAATTACGGCCTAAGCTAAATATGGCCTTTATGTGGCAAGTGCGGTAATTGTAAGAAGATCACAGTAACAAGAAATTAAAGAAGTTAAATCAGAAAAGTGGTTGAAGCTTTAACAATGCTTGCAAGCTTCCTTGGTCGTTGTGGCAGCCAAATAGAGTGAAAAAATAGCTGAAAATATTTATTGATATATTGACATATGACTATTTAAATAACCCCCAAAGAATATTACTTTTCAACGTGAAAACTTTAAATATAATTTACTATTTTCTTTAATCATAAAAAAATATTTTAAGTAGGCTCCAGCGCTTCAAGTTCTTGCCAGCTGGTCCCTAAAAATAAAAATAAAAATAAAATTAAAAAAAAAACTAAGAAAATGTGGGAGTGTGTTAACAACAACAACAAGAGCAACAAGCACCGAAACCCTATCGACAACGTCAAATCTGCGACTGCGTCGGAGCGCTGCAGCAGACTTATAAAGCACACATCATCATCATCATCAGCAGCAACAGCAGAAGCAGCATAGTCGGCAGCAGCAGCAGCATCGTCAACAGGCAATCGGGTTGAACAAGCAGGCCAAAAGGAGCAGCAGAGCGAACTGAAGCTGGGGAATAGCCTTGGCAGCGGCGTAGCAAAAATTTAATTAAGAAAATCAAGCCGAAAACTGCGTTGGGCGAGGAGCACTCGAGCGACGCCAACGACGGCGACGACGCTCCAGCTTTCATATCTGATGGAAAAGCAAGAGCCGCGACAACAGCAACAACAGCAACAAGAACAACAACAACAGCAGTAACAACATCTGAAA